CAAGCCGAACATCACTCCCCAGAATAAGAAGCGTTGATTGCAATGGTGCAAAGCTCACCATCATTGGACTGTGGACATGTGGAAAAGTGTTCTTTGGAGTGATGAATCTCGCTTTACAATCTGGCTATCCGATGGACATGTCTGGGTTTGGCGGATGCCTTGCGAGCGCTTTTTACGTGACTGTATTGTGCCAACTGTAAAGTTTGTTGGTGGCAGCATCATGGTGTGGGGGTGCTTTTCATGGTTTGGCCTGGGTCCCTTAGTACCTGTGGTTGGAAACATGAACTCTAAGATGTATGTGGACATTCTGAACAATGCTGCTCTCTCAACTCTATGGAAATATTTCAGGGAAGGCCCATTTCTCTTCCAGCAGGATAACTGCTCCATTCACACATCAAGACTTGCGCAGGCATGGTTTAATGAAATGGGTGTTCAAAAGACTAAATCCCATATAACACCTTTGGGACGAATTAGGACGCATATTACATAGTCAGCCACATCGACCATCCTCACTGCCAGCACTCACTTCAGCCGTGATGGACGCCTGGAAGTCAATTCCAATGGCCATCTATCAAAAACTAGTGGAAAGTCTCCCCAGACGTGTACAGGCTGTCATCGATACAAAAGGTGGACCAACATCATATTAATATATGCCTCAGGACTCTCAGAGTCCATACTACTGGGGGTCCGGATACTTTTGGCCAGATAGTGTACTCTTCAAATTGCGCAAGTGTGGCAAAAAGATCAATTTTTGATCAAACAACACCCAAAAACTTAGCTTCCTTGTCCATTGGGGTTTTAACCCCATTTAAGTGAATTTCAGGGTCCAGGTGTAAACCATGCCTTCAGCAAAAGTGGATGCACAAGGTCTTCTCCGTGTTAAAACGAAGACCATTGGTCTTGGATCAATCATGTATACAATTTAGGGAGGTTTGCAGTTGACTCTCGATAAAACTCATGCTACTAGACTGGCAGGAGATCTGAAAGTCATCCACATAAAGAGTATGTTTCACGCTAGGTGGGAGACAACTATGCTGTGAATTTTAATTAGGAACAGAGTCACACTCAAAATACAACCTTGAATAACACCTTCTTGGATATAAGGTCTAGATAAGGTGATACCTATTCTAACTTGAAATCTTTGATTCTGTAGAAAGTTTTTTATAAAAATCAGCAATTACCCCACAATCCAAATTGGTACAGATCACGGAGTATCCCGTATCACCAACAGTGATCATAGGCCTTCTCTATATAAAAAAACAAAACACAGACAGTAAGTGCTGTCGTCGAACAAATGCTTTGCAGATAGATGTTTCAAGGTTTACTGAATTGTCTGTGGCAATTCAGTAAACCTTGCCACAGACAATTCAGTCTGTGGCGATGACAAACTTTGATGAGGTATTATTTTTGTCTGTGGCACTTCTGTTCCTACAAAATACACTCTGATGTGATAAAAAGTAATACTTTTCCTCTACGAGGAACATCAGACATCTGTTTAAAATTCTCTCAGAGTTTACAGAGATAACTTGTCAGAGATTCTTGTGGTCTTTACCTGGCTTGGGGATAGGAATAATAATTGATAGCCTCCAAGAGTCAGGAAAAGTATGTTCTGTCCATATTCTGTTAAACAGACACAGGAGATTACAAAGGGAATTGTTTGACAGATTTTTAATCATGTTATAGTGGATTCTATCCGGACCTACAGCAGTATTCCCCAATCGAGACATCACGGTATGTAGTTCTTTGCTGGTGAATGGCACATTGTATTCCTCAGTAGATGAGGAGTGGAAGTTTAAATATTGTTTTTTTAGTTTGGACATTATAAGCATGAGAATTTCTTGTATACATAATATTGCTAGATAAAGAGGAAAATGTTTCACCCAACAAATCAGTAATACCCAATATATATCACTGATTATTGTGCCATTATTTTCCAGCATGGACAGAGAATGAGAAGCATGTTTTCCATTAATTTTATCCCAAAATGGGATAAAATTAATGGAAAACATGCTTCTCATTTTTTTTTAGCTAATAGAAGATGCTATGCTAAAAACATACTTCCTCTAAAAATCTCTTTGGCTTTGCCATCTTATTCTTCTGGCATTATCCTTTGCTTTTTGAAAAACAATCAAATTGTTAGCAATGGGGTATCTTCTGAAAATCCCCATGCTTCCTTTTATTTTTTAAATGCTGCCTTGCAATTCTTATCCCACCATGGTTTTGGATGTTTGGGATATCTGGTTGATGTTTTCCCCATTGTTTTTTCAGCTGCCTGAATAATACAAGAAATGACAGCTTCAATTGAACTATTGATATCAGCAATATTAACCATTTCCTCAGAGATATTGGTCATAGAGAAGAATGCAGGCCAATTGGCTGTTTCCATTTTCCAGCGTCATGGACAGGCTGTTTTACAGCTATCTCTGTATCATTATTTTAGAATATTGGGAACTAAACATCGATCCAGTAGCATGCACTATCAAGTAGGCTGGCTAACTGGAAATGTTTTGATTCATGTTTGTTACCTTGTCTGGATTTTTTGAATTTTCTATATCCATGGTTAAGAAATAATATTTCAGCTCCTAGTGACCCCACCCACCATGGGGATGCCATCACATGGGAGACTCCCACAGACCGTCACACTGGGATTTCCCAGAAGCTATACCCTCACAATGTAGTCAAAGAAAACACATCTGGACTGACATGACAGAACTGTCAAGCAGGGACGTGTCCACCCGGTCTGCATCGTTCGGTTGACTCCAGGCCAAGGTCAAGAATGACTCAGTGACCAACCGATTGACTCAAACGGAGCCTGATTTGAGCCTCCCATTTATCCGAAGCAGGGACCAAAGCAGTGTGTTGAGGACATTAAGTTGCCCTCAACTACCAGGATCCCCCTTTCCGGCATAGGGGACACCACACATGGCAAACACATGGGTGGGCATTCAGATCCCAGGGATGGTAAAGAAAAGTTACTAAACCGTCTATGTGAGGGCCCCTCACCATAGACATGAACTGACATTGAGAGGAATTGTTTATATGACTTTCAGGACCTAGATGTCCTATCTTATATTAATATGAATGGATTTATTATTAAATTTTTAATTGGAATATTTTATTACTTAGCTTGTTCAAATTCAATCTTCATATAAGAGTGTTCCTTTGTTGTACATATCTAAGCATTTTGCTTTTAAAATAGACATTTTTAATTTAAGAACAATATAGATATAATTAAATTATTTAAGTTTAAACATATTTACTACTTATGTTTTCAGTTGATCCAAACATAAGACAAGAAACAGAAGCAGCTCCTTTTGGAAGTCAGTATGTCATATTTAATTGGAACAACAAGACCACAAACTTGTTTCTTGATCAGTACAAAGTAAATGAAAGCATGTTTTCATCTCCATATTAAAAAAAAACAAGTGTGGGAAAAAATATCCAATAGCTTTAAAAGCTATAGCTATCCCATAACAGCAATTCAGTGTGAAAACAAATTTAAAACTCTAAAAAGTAATTACAAAGTAATAAAAGATGATGATAATAAAAGTGGATCATGCAGAAGGAAGTGCTATTATACGGCATAGTTGGATGAAATATTTGCAAAAAAATCCAGCTGTACAGCCTGTTTCCTTTGCAAGTTCATCTTCGGGGTTTAGTAATTCTGTTGCCACAACAAAGTAAAAATACAACAACAAACACACCATCACCAAAAGCATCTGCCAACAAAACATGGAGAAAACAACAACCTGAATTATTTAGTAACTACAGACTGTGTTCAAAAATGCCATAAAAACGAAAAAAATTATTATTACTGTAGATAAATTACAATGTTTAATTGATAAATTGTGAAACAATTATATTTTTGTATATAAATTGTAGATAGAGCTCATATGAATATCAGCCGCAAAAGCTTAAAAAAAAAATTGCTTATTTTAATAGAAAACAATATACATCTGTAATTCTCTAAGCTGTGTATGACACTAAATTATTGTTTACAGATGTGTTTACTGGGTGGCCGGGATCTTCCCATAATTGCAGAGTTTGGAGTAACACACCACTGTGTGAAGCCATGGAAAATTCCCTCATATGACTCCTTGGAGATGGAGCTTATCCACTTTCTTTAAATAAAATATGATGGTACCATATAAAGGGTACGTACATAAAGTCGAACAAGTTAAATGAGAATGATGTCATCATCATTCTTATTTTGTTAGTCTTTCCAAACAATTCGTTTAGAAAATGAAATAGAATGAAGAACTAGTTTGTAGGATCTCTCATTGTTTTTAAATGTTATGCATTTCATATATTTATGGTTGTTGGATCTTTCTTCATGCGAGTTTTGTCAAATGCAATTAGGGCTATATCAATCTACTACAGTACTGTGGGACTGGAACAGTTACCTGAGAAGTTGGTGTTCATTCCCCAATAAATCATTATAATTTAAAGTAGGGGTCCCCAAAGTGGTCAATATCGACCCCAAGGGGTCGATAAGAGTTCTCCAGGGGTCAATTAATACATGAGGGTCGAAAGGGGGTCAATTAATTAATTAATACCAAAGAGGATCTATTAAATTGTCTAGGAAAAAAATAGAATATTCCAATAAAAATTCGAAATACGAATATGATAAACAACATTGCTGACTACCCTAGTTATAACTTGAGTTTTGCCTTAGCCTATGCTGCTTTAAGCTTGTGTTACTCTGTTTTCACGCATCTGGCAACTGTACTAGTGATGCAAACGTGTTATGAACGCTGGTAGTTCATTATACACAGACATACATTGCACTGTTACACTCTAGTTGGGTTGTCACTCTAACCCCCGTATTCACCAACGCGAGTTAGAGTTAGAGTTAGGGTTAACTCTCGAGTTATTGGTAAATTGGTATTCACCAACTCCGAATCTTGAGTCAAACACAATAACTCTAACTCTAGAAAATCAGCGAGTAGATGATAACTCTAGGTTTGACGCCTGCGCAAAGCAATCTATTTCAGGGAAAAATGGTGACATTCGACGAAGACGAAGCTGAGATGCTAGAAAATCTGAAATATTTAGATTATATAAATCGTATGGAACGAAGAAGTCGGCGGATTATTTCTCCAAGAAGAAATGACCTCGAACAATTGGACGATTACGACTTTCTATGTCGATATCGTTTGCCAAAAGAGAGCGTAAGAAACTTATTAGAACGAATTGGTCACAATTTAGTTTCTACATCATAGAGAAATTATGCGATGTCGCCGATGGAACAACTGTTGTTGGCTCTACGTTTTTATGCCACTGGAACATTTCAGTTGGTCGTAGGCGATTTAAATGATTTAAGTCAATCATCTNAATTTAGTTTCTACATCATCGAGAAATTATGCGATGTCGCCGATGGAACAACTGTTGTTGGCTCTACGTTTTTATGCCACTGGAACATTTCAGTTGGTCGTAGGCGATTTAAATGATTTAAGTCAATCATCTGCGTGTAGAGCGATTAATAGAGTGAGTTTTTTAATTGCTCAACTCTCCTCAGATTATATCCAGTTGCCTAAAACAGAATCTGAAAGGAAGCAAGTAAGTAGGCCTAATATTCCTTTATCTTTTGCTATTATAGTAATAAAATGATTTTATCTTGTTTTTTTTACAAATTTCTATATTAGAATCATTAAATTATATACAGTGTTTATTCATTTAATTAATACATTACTTTTCAACGTATGAACTGTAATAAAATATAAAAATAATAGGTCAAGTATATATTTATATTTTCAGATAAGTCAAAACTTTTTTCATTTGAGTGGTTTTCCATGTGTGTATGGAGCCATTGACTGCACCCACATTCCAATTCAGTCACCGGGAGGAGAAACTGCTGAATTATTTCGAAATAGAAAAGGATATTTTTCTATTAATGTTCAGACAGTTTCAGATAGCCAACTTAAGATCAGAAATATAGTAGCTAGATGGCCAGGTAGTTCTCACGATAGCACTATATTTGCCAATAGTCATCTGTGTGCTATGTTTCAAGCAGGAGATATTCCATCGAAATATCATCTTCTTGGTGACAGTGGATATGGATGCAAGGCATATCTATTAACTCCAATATTAAATCCAGAAAGTGATCAAGAAAAAAGGTAATTATTAGTTTTATAATATATATTATTAAAATATATTTAATGCATAATACAGTTTTAAATGATCATGTACATTTCAAAATTAATATCAATTATTTTTTCTTTGAAAGATATAACAGATGCCACATAAAAGCACGGAACACAGTGGAACGGCAATATGGTTTGTGGAAACGACGTTTTCCCTGTTTGTCAGTAGGTTTACGTTGCAACCTACAAAATGCTATGGCTGTCATAGTTGCCACTGCAGTGCTTCATAACATTGCAATTTCAGATGGAAATATGACAGTTCCAACAGAATTTGATATTTCCATGAATGAAGATGTTCCAGTGCCTNAAATATGTTGGGCCCTGTCCCTCACCCTGCCACTCTATTATGGGTATGGCTGAACCCATGGTGAGTTTGGAAAAAAGATCCTTAGTGACCACAGGACAGACTTAAAAAAACAAAAGCATATTGATATATATATATATTTTTTAAAACTCTTTCTGCCTTATGAGCACTAAGAGGGCCTCTTTCAACAAGCTCATTATGAATTTGGCCAGGCCTACAATGGTGAGGCCGGGTGGTGACAGATAGGACCCAACATATCCAGACCACCCACGAAAAATTCCTAGGTATTTTTTTGACCTATCAGATTAGATCCCGAATCCCCCAGAGCAGTAGGCTGCCACCTTGACCGATCAGCCATCCAGCTGTGAAAGTGTATTGATATTTGAAGAATGATGTAATGCATTATTTATAAACAATTTTATTTTATTTAAACAAATAATAATGAAAACAAGTTACTTTTTGAAACAAGTAATTCTCCATAAAAGTTAAGTAATAAAATATTCCTAAATAAAAGTTGTAGGGATGAATGGAGTAATTGTAAATCCTGTTTTTGGGCTGACTTAACATGTTTGTAAGGCAGAGGATATTGTAAATGGCCATAATTTTTTAGATGAAAAATGCACAAAATTTGACAGTGTTATTTCACTAAGCAAATGAAACGTAGACAGAAATCCTGTTGTAACACAATATGGTTTATGAGAAATTCACCATGCTTTTCTGTTGGACTACACTATAATTTGCAGAATGCAGTGCATATTATAGTTCTTCACAATATTGCACTACAAGGTATAGCATTATTTCATGATGATGATAATGCTCATTTTTTAACTTCAGATGTGCCTGTACAACTATGTAAATACCAGAAATGTTCAAGGTTTTGTGAAAAAGATGCAATAATTCAGAATTTTGTGTTTAATGTTAAAATAAAAATTTCATATATTTTTAAATAAACTTTTGTTTTCTGAAAAGTTTTATTTTTATTACTGTATTATTATTCTAAAAAGAAACAATATACACAGGACACAAATACTTCATAAAAAATTTTATATTAAAAATAAAAGCACTTTTTACACTGTATATAAATATATATTTTGCAAAAAAGTATTACAAATTAATTGCAATATTAATTTAATTGCAATCTAAGACTGGATGGATCATCCTCTAAAATTTGCAATATTTTTTGCTGGACTTGTAATTGTGTTTTCATTAGGAGCATTTTCAAATCATGTTCTTCTGTCATGAATTTCATTTTTAATTCATGCTCCTCTTCAATAGTTTGCTTTTTTTTCTTCGCTTGTTCGTAAATTGCCTCAGCTGCTTCAGGCTGTTTTCTTTTTTTATTTTGAATTTTTTTCTCATTAGTGGAACTCTGATTGGAAAGTAATTATTTCATTATAAGCTGAAACAATATTTTTTATGGAATATAATTATTTTTAAGATTTACCTGCTGATTATCAATATTTTCAATATAAAAATCTGCAGTGGGTTCAATGACTTCCATAGTCATTACATTAGTGATTTCTGGTAAATGTGTAACTGAAACCTGCAAGATAAATAATTATGTTATTTGAAAATTAAATATGTGAACTTGGCATTAAAACTATATTACTAACTACTAATATTAATACTAGTTCTTTTATAACTTACAAGACATTTGTAACTGAAAACCATCTAGACTTTTTTGATTTATGAATGAAACAATGTGTAACTTATAACAATATTTCAAAGTATTAAGATGTACACAATTTGAATAGTACATACAGTATAAACTTTCATACAATTCATATATTAAATATTATAGTTTTACATTTAAATGACATGATATAGTTTAAATTATAGATGTAATTTATACATGAAATGTATGTATATTCTTATTGTGTATTGTACAGTGAAGTACAGACTTTATATAGGAAGTATTTTCATGTATACTATAAATATTTGCACAATTGTAAGTATTATAAAGTAATTTATTGATAACTAAATAAACATTGACTTACTTCAGATGCAGATACATCACATATACTTTGAGAATTTTCTACAAAAGTTGCAGCTATCTCTGCTATTAAAATATATTACTAATTAATTCAAAATTTAAAAAATTATAAATTATAATGCCTTAATACTTACTTGTATTAGGTTGGGCATCACTATCAAACCCATTATATAAAGGCTGTGTTAAAACTCCCATCGACAGGAGTTTTTCAGACATTACATCCGAATTATTTAAGACAGGAGGAGGGTTTCCTCCTCCTGTCTTAAATAATTCGGTTTTTTTCTGAGCCTGTTCTTTTACGGCTCTTTTTTTTTAAGTTTTTGTAGCAGTCCCAAAGCTGCTTACTTTTTCTAAGCGTCACTCCCGGGATTCCATTGTATTCTTCCGTTAATACCTCCCAGGTATCTCTTTTCTGTTTTGAAGAAACAGCATTTGTTTTTTTGTTTTCTATTATAATTTTATGTTTCTCGACTAATTCGAGAAGAATTTCTTTCTCAAAATTAGAAAAATTGCGGCGTGCACAGCTTTCCATTTCACTTTCCGCCATTTTCTACATGTGTTTCTATTCTATTCTATTCGTCTCCTCCCTGGTTCATACACGTGTTTGCTTTCAACCAATAAGAACTCTGCTTATGAAAGAAGACTTGTTTAATCTCGAACGCAGGATTGTTTTAAAATATTAACTCTAGGGTAGCGAAACTCTAGAGTTAAATTTTTATCTGAATACGAAAGAAGAGTAACTCGTAATCTGACTTCGAGTTACATCTAACCTCGAGTTCATCAACTCTCTGTTTAACTCGCGTTGGTGAATATGGGGGTAAGTATTTTATATCTAAATGTAGATATTTTGTCCTTTACAGAGAAAATATCATAATATATCGAAAATCATTAGTATAGTACAGAAGCGTTTGCAAGAAAAAATCAAGGTCTTAGATTATCAGGTTGCCTCAGAGAAGAAATGCTTCTCATTGGTTGCTTATTTGACGTCACTCTTAGTCGAAAACGAAACATCTTACTATGTCCTTATGGTAGAAACGTTACCGATCAGAGGCTCGTAGCTTTAATTACATGCTAATATTTTATTAATTACGATACTTACTTAATTAAATAAAAATAAAAATTGATTATAAATAAGAAAAATCCGGAATATTGAGCAAATCTTCGTAATTTTTACGTGTAAAGTTGAAGTTAAAATGAGTTTTTCTACTTTGTAAATGAAATCTATTTTATCTATTTTATGATTTTATAACAACAATAGTTTCTTAAAACGATTAATTTTGGTAAATCCTACGTAGGTGATTTATATATAAGTAAATTAATTTAATTTCTATCGTCAAACTACTATATATTTTTTTTTGAACTAAAAATAATATTGGTCTATTTTTCAATTTTTAATACTCGTGTACCGAAAACGATATTATTGATATTAATATATACAAATTAAGTTTCAAAAGAACAATTTTTTATGTTATAAACACATTTTTGATGCCAATATGTACAAATTAAATGCTACATAAAAACAATTAATTAAATCAGGTACAAACTTTTTTTAATTTTCTATTGTTATTACAATTTACTTTTCTTTTCACAGCGAAACGATCATGTTTAATTAAATTATTCAAAAATTTCAATCTAATCCATACACGTTGCTTTACGTATGTGTATGTAATGTCTTCTGGCAAGTTAATTGTCTGTTTAAGTAATGATGTAATAGATGAAACCGTTTTACATTTCAAATGCAGTTTAACAGTTTTTGTAAAAATTGATTCCATTTTTTTAACTAAATTAAAGAAATCTTCTGATGGTTGTGACAGTCCACCAAAAGATAAATCCTGAACAAGGGACATCATTGTATAACTATGTTCATTTTTATTTTGGTGACTGACACTTCCTAAATTTGGATATTTTTTTTGTATTTTCTTGCAATCCACCCTGCTAAATATTGTAATCCATCATTTTTTAATTCATCTAATTCATCATTTTTTAATTCTACATTTTCCTGAGATATATCACATAAATCATCATCATTTACATTGCATGAATTTTCAGATATTCCTTGTTCTTTAGAACTAGACATATCTGAAACTTCTTGCAGTAAATCTGCCTCTTCAAACATTTCATTTATTAAATAATTTTCAGCTATCTGATCTTCTGTGTTTAATTTATTTTGCAATATTCCTGGTGATTTGCCTAAAATTATCATTCTTACTCTATATATTACTTCAAGTGGACTAGGATGATCATTTAAACCACCTCTAGTTCGAATCTGTGAAAATAGATTTTCTAAAGAATCCTGATTTACTTTACATGTTAAGATATAATGGTATTTAGGAAATTTTGAACTAAGGTCGAAAAATAAATCTTTAATAGATTTAATAGATATAAGCATTCCTTTTTGAAATGTTTGAAGTGATTTTTTAGATACACATCTCATACTTTCAATTATTCTGTAAGTATTATCAAGTATATTATTTTGTTCTGTTATGTTAATGCCATAAGCACATTTGGAGGGATAATCAATTTTGTAATGAAAATTGGGTGTTGAACTATTCATAACATCAAACCATGCATTAATTGATGATATAAATTCAGAAGCTGCTAAGGCATTTTCAGTTTTAATATATCTTTTAATAGCAATAGCTGTAGAATTAGAAAATAATTCACAAGCTAACCTAACATTTTGTCGTTGAAATTTCTGACATGTAATATGCTCTTCTTTTAATTTATGGCAAACTTTCATTTCATTGGAATCTATTTGAAGTAACTGTTGTAATGAGTCTTTGTTTATTAATGTATGATCTGAAGTTAGAAAACCTGTATCTAAAATCCAATTTCTAATGAGTTTTAACAAATGAGATGTGTCTGGAAAATAGTATATATTATTTCCATTAGATGGATGTATAAATTTTGTATTAAATATATTTATCCCTAATTCCTTCCATAATCCTATATTTTGTCCACCGCAGTCACTAACAACAGCAACAACAGTATATCCTGCATCAAAAAGTTTTGAAATAACAGTAAATAAAAGTTGTTTTTTCATTTTAACATCANAATTTTGTATTGAATATATTTATCCCTAATTCCTTCCATAATCCTATATTTTGTCCACCGCAGTCACTAACAACAACAACAACAGTATATCCTGCATCAAAAAGTTTTGGAATAACAGTAAATAAAAGTTGTTTTTTCATTTTAACATCAAAATCCACATAAACGGGTTGTTTCCATGATGCGAATAGTCCTCTTGCCATCATCACTAAAACTTGATCATTGGGTCCAATAACTTTATCCCTCACTTTATTATATTCATATATATGCTTTTCCTGAAATATCAGTAAAATGTTAAAACAGAAAATTAAAATAATTATTGAATTATGTGGATTACAAGTTACTCCTCTTTTGTATTCAGATAAAAATTAACTCTAGAGTTTTGCTACTCTAGAATTAATATTTTAAAACAATCATGCATTCGAGATTAAACAAGTTCTCTTTTGTAAACAGTGTCTTGATTGGTTGAAAGCAAACACATTTAGAAAATGGCGGAAAGTCAAATGGATAGCAGTGCACGCCATAATTTCACAAATTTTGAGAAGGAAATGCTTCTCGAATTAGTTGAAAAATATAAATCTGTAATTGAAAATAAGAAAACAAATGCAGTTTCTTACAAACAAAAGAGAGACACGTGGGAAGTATTAACCAAAGAATATAATGGTATCCCGGTGTCACACTCAGAAAAAGCAAACAGCTATGGGACTGTTACAAAAATTTAAAAAAGAAAGCCGTAAAAGAACAATCACAGAAAAAAAAAACGAATTATTTAAAACAGAAAGAGGAAACCTTCCTCCTATTTTAAATAAATCAGACATAATGGCTTAAAAACTTCTTTCGATGGGTGTCTTAACTCAGCCTTTAGAAAATGACTTTGATAGTGATGCCCAATCTAAAACAAGTAAGTATTAAGGCATTAAATTTATAATTTTTTAAATTTTGAATTAATTAGTAATATATTTTAATAGCAGAGATAGCTACAACTTCAGTAATAAATGCTCAAGATATACACCTACGTGATGTATCTGCATCTGAAGTAAGTCAATGTTTATTATTTAGTTATCAATACCTTGTATACAGGTTAACAACACTCGTTAACCTGAAGAAGACCGGAAATAACGGTCGAAAACGTTTGTAGTACTTTTAAATATTTTACTGGTTATTTAAAGGTTGTTGGGAGTTTATTAGTTATCAATAAATTACTTTATAATATTTAAATGACAACTGTGCAAATATTTATAGTATACATGAAAATTACTTCCTATATAAAGTCTGTAATTCACTATACAATACACAATAAGAATATACATACATTTTATGTATAAATTACATCTATAATTTAAACTGCAACATGTAATTTAAATGTAAAATTATAATATTTAATATATGAATTGTATGAAAAAGTTTATACTGTATGTACTATTCCAATTGTGTACATCATAATATTTCAAATTATTAAAAGTTACACATTCTTTCATTTAACATTTCATTCATAAATCCTAAGTCTAGATAATTTACAGTTACAAATGTCTTCCAAGTTTTAAAAGAACTAATATTAATATCAGTAGTTAGTAATATAGTTTTAATGTCAAATTCACATATTTTATTTTCAAGTAACATAATTTTTTATCTTGCAGGTTTCAGCTATACCACAAATAACTGATGTAATATCTGTGGATGTCATTGAACCAGCTGTAGATTTTTATGTGGAAGAATTTCAAAATATTGATGATCAGAAAGTAAATCTTAAAAATAATTATATTCCATAAAAATACTGTTTTAGCTTAAATGAAATAATTATCTTTCAATTAGTTCCACCAATGACAAAAACAATCAAAATAAAAAGAAAACAGCCTGAAGCAACTGAAGCCATCTACGAACAGGTGAAAAGAAGAAAGGAAATGCTCAAAGAAGAGCATGAATTAAAAATCAAATTTATGACCAGAGCTGTGGAGTCGGAGTCATGGAGTTTTGGTGTTTTAGCCGGAGTCGGAGTCGTCAAAAATTCCGCCAACTCTGACTCCCTTTTACTTTCCTGTCTTGTTATGTATATAAAACAGATAACTATTGGAATCGCGTCAAATTTGACCCTCCGAGTGTTTTTGCAAATTTACATATTTGGAGACTTCCTGGACCAAAAAAAATGTCAAATAAAGGAGAAAAATTAGCTCGCGCGCACATGCTTATGTGTGTTGGCATTGAATTTGTTTAATTTCTTTATTCTCCGTTCTGAGATATTGTCAGAATGGTTAAGTTTAAGAAACGAAATCTGGCACCGTAGCTTGTGTATAAAGAGGCATTAACACTATTAAATTTTGGTTCTTAATTAATTAAAGATCGACAGGATGGAGGCATAGAAAGGGTTGTGTCATATCTCCAGTGTGGTCAGACTTAATGAACATTTTAGTCGTTATTAGCGTTCACAATTTTTTTTTATATATAAAACTCGTTTCTACTTTCAAAATTAAGCTCTTTGTCATTTTATAATAGTACATCAAAACTTGGTTAAGATGTTCTCACTTAAGATGTTTCTTCTCCTAAGTCGTTCAAATTTTGCAGTACGATTATCATCATTATGCCCTTAATCAATGGTGGTAAAAGATGTCGCTAGCCAAAAGACGGACCTCGGGAATGATTGAAAGTTGTGGAATGAAGTCCGGGTTCCAGTGAATCCAGGACGTGGTAAATTTTACCCTATCATCCCACTCTCTCGTCGGTCCTGCCCATAAGACTCTTGTTAAAAATTTCCTCGTGAGATTCCATTAAACAATTTTTACCAGCTTAAAACAATCAAGTCGCTGACCAATCGTGTTTTCCTCAGAAAATGCATGCACAGAAATCCTGTAGTCTCAATAGAAGGGCTGTGCAACATTCGATATTACTTATATCGGAAGTTAATACCAAAATTTATGAAGTTAATTAATTCAACAACCCAATGCTAAGAAACTTTAAAATTTCAAAATTTAGATTACAAATGAAATTCGTTACGTTGATTCCAGTATCGACAATTACACGATTTCTAACTGACTTAACGTTTGGAAATTGAAATCATGCTTTTGATTGGCTGACAAATTTCAACTATAAACAATTTTGTATTTGAATTCAAAAATTACTACTGACCAAACTTTTAAATTTCTTTCTGTGATTGACTAGAAAAAAGTCTGTTGACTAACGGTAGTTTTAAAAACAGTATAAATAGGCAGTCTCCATTTGGAATCTTTACTTATCAACGACGTTCTGCTCTTCTTACCATACTGTAAGTATAAATATATATATTTTTTATATATACTGTATTGGTCTGAATATTATGCAATGTTTTTCCTAGACTGTTACAT